GCCAGCCAGGCCGAGGAGGCTGCTCTTGCCAATCCACGGCCTGCCTCCTGACTGCCTGAAGGGCCAGCCAGGCCGAGGAGGCTGCTCTTGCCAATGCCGAAGTGTGCCAGGGGCTGGCGCTGCAGCATCTGCTGAGGCTGGCGTGGATACAGGCTAAGAATAGCCTGTTCCCGAAACCTTGGTTTGGTGCCTGAGTTTCAGGGCCGGTCGTTCTGGTGAACGACGGAAAATAGCCCTTCGTTTCAGGCTAAAAAGGCTCTTGCCATTTTTAGTTTGAAACGACACAGGGACTGTAGGCCCSTGTTTTCAGGCTGAATTCTAGGCTTTTTGGCTGAAGGGCGCAGGGCCTGGAAAATGGTCTGCGTGTGCATGCGCAGCATGTAACACCCCTCCCTCCTTATGAAGTCAAGCCGGGGCGAGGGCGAAGCCGACGATCTGAAGGTGGAACTTGGACGAGGGCGCGGTGTGGAACCGAAGAAACCGGCTTGCCTTGCATCTTGCGTTCATAGCGTGCGAGAACGTCTGGAGTTGTTGCTTGAAGTTCCGCACACGTTAACCAAAGGTCAGCTCGGTGTCTGCAGTATGCAAAGTGCACCAAATACTCAGTTGGCTTGTTGCCGTAGCATCGCTGGGAGATGACGTCGCCGACCTCCTGAAAACCGTCCATAGAAGGTGGGTCTTGCATACGTCTCCCAGGAAAATCGTCATGTTCCGCTGGCGTGTAAAGAGCCAATTTGGAGCAATGAAAGACTGGGTAGACCAGCAAGTGGCCAGTCAGCTGAATCGTGAAGGAAGGTCCTTCGGGTGCGTCCCCAGCGGGCGCTACGATCGGCCAAGGCCCCATCCATTTTGGGAGGAGCTTGCGAGAGATGTCTTGTTTAAGGCTGAATTCCGCTGCGGAAACCCAAACAAGGTCGCCTGCGCGGAATGGGCAAGGAAGACGCTGGCGATTGGCCTGTTGGCTCATGCGCTGCTGCGTCTTAGCCATCTGATCGCGTGCCTTGACAAGAAGCTCTTGCATCCGACGCAAGAAAAGAAGATGGTCGTCGCTCTCGGCCGTTCATGGAGTAATAGTGTCCAACAGTGAAGTGACCGGCGAGTCGTGCTCAAACTCAAAGGGCGACATCCCGATAGCCGAGTGGATAGATGAGTTGTAGGCCAACTCGACATCCGGCAGCCGCTCAACCCAGTCCTTCTGGTCAGGGCGGATGAGAGTGCGAAGGAGAACCTGTGCGCGCCCTCTCCGTCTGGCCATCGGTTTGAGGGTGGCGAGCTGAACTGGGCTTGAGAGATAAGCCCCATCGCTTGATGAGTGCCAACCAAAAATCGGACATGAACCGAGTGTCGCGGTCGCAGACGATTTCCTTGGGGTAACCCTTGGTTCGAATCCAACCGGCGTAAAGAACCTCGGCCAACTCCGGTGCCTTGGCATGATAGCGACAAGGCAAGAACATGGCGAACTTGGTGAGTCGGTCGACCACCTGAGAATCCCATCCACTCCGGTCTTGCGCTTGGGGAACGGGCCAGTAATGTCCATGGCAATCGCTTCCCTTCGCCTCAAGGGGACTGGCAATGGTCGTAACTCGCCGTACGGACGATGGTTGCGGGATTTGCAGCGTCGGCAAACCTCGCATGACTCGCAATAGCGCGTGATGTCGCCGAGAAGGCCGGGCCACCAAAATCGTTGGCGAAGTCGGCCAATCGTGCGATTGACTCCAAAGTGTCCGGTGGCGGGAGCATCGTGGAACTCGCCAAGAAGCTGTGTACGCAAGTGAGGATCACTTGGTACACAAAGAAGGTCCTTCCCCCGTGTGTGGACAAGCAAGTACCCGTCTTGGATCCGGTAGTGAGAAGGAGCCGGATTAGGAGAGGAGCAATTCACATATTTGTCGCGAAACTCGGGGTCGGCTTGGTAGCCGCGGATGAAACTGTTCCGCAGGTTGTCGTCGATCTCGAAGGTTGAGTAGACTGCAATACAATGATCCGGATGCCGTGAAAGAGCATCCGCAAAACGGTTGGACTTCCCGGGAATGTGATCGGGAAAGAAGTCGAACTGGTCGATGAAAGCTATCCATCGAGCGATGGTGCTGTTGACGGTGTCTTGGGTCTTGTAAAAGACCAACGGATTGTTGTCCGTTACCCAACGAAATTGGCTTCGACCAAGGAGGAAGTGCCGCCACCACTTGAGCGCGTGGACGAAGGCGAGGAGCTCCTTCTTGCGTGCATCATCAATGGAATGCACGATGGGCACTTTCTTGCTGAAGTATTCGACCGGGTGCCAGTCCACACCGTCATGTTGCTCAAGGACTGCACCAATGCCATAGCCTGACGCATCCGTAGTGACGCGCGTAGGCAAGAGCGGGTCGTATATCCGCAAGACCTCCGCAGACAATAGCGCGGCTTTGAGAGCGAAGAATGATCCCCGCGCCTCCTCTCCGAAG